TCATAGGGCTTTCAGCATTCTCTAAGCGGTGTTCCGAGTCAGCATATTGCCCCCAACAATCCAGGTCCTCATTTTACCCACCTCGGAAGGATGGAAGGCTGAGTCAACCCTGAGCCGCTGAGATTTGAACAGCCGAACTGCAGAACTGCAGTCAGCTGAAGTAGCCTGCAGTGCTGCATTTAACCACTGCGCCACCTCCCTATGCGGGAGATGCATGTGCTGCATGGGGAGGGGGCGCACACATGTGTGTGTGTCACAGACACATTGCATTACGGGTATGCATGCATACGCTTTCGGCCAAAAAGATGAGCCATAACTGAGGTAGACCAAAACGGTTCAACTTCCCATCTCAGATCTCATCCACGCTTGCCAGTATGCTTCTGAAAATACTTACTTCTTCACGATGGCCAGCTGGATCTTCTACATAAACCAGCACCTCTCCAAGACCAGCACTGATGGTTTCTACTGTGAACTCGGCCTTCTTCTTCACCATGTTACCCATGGGTTCAATACCTAAGAAGGACACAGAGGATGTTGGATCAGTCCTGGATTCATGCTGTCAATGGTGCCAGGGTACCAAAACAGGAAGCACGCCTGAAAAATTTATTTCTGTGCATTTTCAAGTTATCTATGCCAGCTGTCTCTAATTAGCTGCTTTCCAGCTAGGTACAGGTTGATTTCCTATCCACCTCAACACTTCCAGAGGACAAGGTTAGAGAGGTTCGATCACTGTGTTAGCTCCAAGTCATAAACCACTGCTTGCAGAGGACAGCGGTTGAGTCCTTACGCACCATATAAGGTGAATGGAACGGAACGATTTACGTCTTAGTGTAATGTAAACTCAACCAATTAGTCATCCAAAATTCTTACTTTAACAGCCAACCGATTCAGTCACCAGTCTCCAAGATACGTAAGCGACAGACACACACACTAAGCTCTCTTATCTTTGATTTGTGACTCACCTGGCCCGTAAGCTCTGGCTTTCTTGGGATTGAGCTTTGGCCTGAGAGGAGCCCCTGGCTTTAGCTTGGCTTTCGGGAACTGAGAGAGGTATGTCATCACCGAGTGCTCATCCACGTTGGGATCTACAATTTCTTCTGGAGTGATCACCTACAGAGGATACAGAATTGCTGCAGAAATCCAACCCAAGAATGTGCCCCTCAAGCAGTTTATTTTGGATCAAATACAAGAAATACACATCAGCAGCCCTATCGGCATTATCCATTGTCAAGCCCTGCAGGGGACAGAATTAAGTATTTTTGGCTTACCTGTGGGATGCCCAGCCAATCATCAGCTTGCTGCATAGCTTCACGAGCATTGTTGACAGGTTTGCTAGCATCCCACGAATCCCAGTCAGGGCACAAGCCTGTTTTGAGAGAGGTCCCGTGACTTCATTAAATACAGACAGTAAAAATATTTTCCTACAGAGATTTTTTTTAGCAGTGTGGATTATTTTATCTGCTCCTCTATTTTAGCAAACCATTTCCAATTCAGAAAATTCACAGAGAAGAGCACAAGTCACATGATGTACTATATAAAAAAGGCATTTATTTATCATATTTATACGGCTGCCCATCTTACAAGAGCTGTAAATTATGCAAAGTAGCCCGCTAGCTACACATCCTACCAACTCTTAAGAACAGCAATATCTGAACTCTGAGAAAGATGCAGTATGTTGCATTCATCTTGCTCAGAAGTCAGGAACTGCATGAATTATTATATTCTGAGCTAAAACGTCTCTTGCCAGTGATTGGTTCCTATTCCTCCTTGAAAAGGAGATTTTTAAATGGTTTTTGTCAATTCAGTCTTCCTCATCCTCGGACTCTCCAAGAGGAGCACTGTTGAATCTCCCATCATCTCCAACATTCATTGCCAAACCAGCAACTGTAGTCCAGGGAATGTAGTTCAGATGGGAAAAGCTAAACTTGTTAGCAGTTTTACATATCAGTAGTACAATAAATACAGAAATGAGTGAAATAATATCTGCATACCATCTTTCTCCGAAAATAAGACAGGATCTTATTTTCATTTGACACCCCCCCCCCCCAAAATAAGTGCTTGGCCTTATTTTCAGAGAGGTCTTATTATTTTTAAGATACAGGCGGCAGCGAGCATGGTCACCTCATGGCTGCTGCTGTGTTGCCATATTTTCAGGGGAGGGCTCATTTTAGCGCATGCGCTCAAAAGCCCGATTGGGCTTATTATCCGGAGAGGTCTTATTATTTTTAAGGTGCAGGCGGCGGCGAGCGTGGTCACCTCATGGCTGCTAGTGTGTTGCAATATTTTCAGGGGAGGGCTTATTTTAGCGCATGCGCTCAAAAGCCCGATTGGGCTTATTATCCGGGGAGGTCTTATTTTCGGGGGAAACAGGGTAGACATCATTCATTTGCATTCCCCAAGCACCAAAAGAAGATAATACACCCTTCCCCTACCTACCTGGGGCACAGCTGTCAACCAGAGCTCCAAGAGCCCGCCCACTCTGCCAATCCCTGCTGAAATTTGTGATGGGCAATTGGGGAAGTTTGTTTTGGATCCAGCCTAGCAATCTCTGCTTGGGAGTTTGTTTCTTGACTTCTTCATCATCTTCCTCATCCCACATGGGCATGGAGATGGAGTAATGCAGGATCAAAGTCCAAATCAGGCCCAGAATCAGCTTCAGGTTCCCATCCACAATAGCTTTACTGTCTGAGAAATTCAGAAATACAGATCAGCATTAGCATCAGAAGAGATTCACCCAAATTTCCACCTCTAGAGAATTAACCACAGAAAATCCCAGTCCCAGCCATGATCCTGTTCTATTTCAAGGAAATCTTAGTTTTTTTTCCCCATCAAAGCTGCAGTTCCTGTTTAATAACAGAGTAAGGGGGAGACCAATCTAGCCTCCCAGGTGTGGTGGGCTTCACAATTCTTCTTTTTTTTTTTCATTTTTATGTACATTTCTTTATTTATTTAAACTTAGCTACTTATGACCAAATATTATTTACCTATATTATGCTTTATATTTTCACTGTCATTTATTCTCTTACATACAGATAATAGATATACATTCACATAATTATTCTTTTTCTTTGCCATTCTTATATTATTATTATTCCATTTGNACATAACACAACCCTGCGCAGGCTGCTCCAGCATTTTTTAGCCTTATATGGAATGGCCGGCAGGCAGCGGCTTCTCCGTCCCAACAAGAGCCTCCTTCCAGGGGGAGGGGAAAGAATAAGCCTTCTGCAGGCTAGGTTCAGCCCCTCCCGTCTGGCTTGCTCCCCCTTCCCCCCCCCCCATGCTTCCTGCCTCCCAAAGGAGGAGGAGGAGGAAAGGGCTTCCTAGCCCACCCATCTCTGTGTCCAAATCCGAGGAGGAAGAACTGGAATAGCCAGCTTACATACATTCGTAAGGGAGGATGGAGGCCAATCCCATATGCCCATTCACTGCTTCCTTCCTTCCTTCCTTCCCTATCCACCCTACCCACCAGCAGACAGACGTGCATACGTGCGCCCACATGTATACCAGGCCTTAAGCTTCACTTTTTTGCAGCCTGGAGACACACTTTTTTGCCTCCACCTCTCAGCCACTGCGAGGTTGAGTCAGCGTCTGCAGCCCAGTGATTCAGTGCATCAAACTGCAGAACTCAAAACTTCCCTTAATTCCCAGGCTAGAAGGTTTAGCAGGACCAGGCCCAGATAGAAATGTTTCCCATTTGAGTGTCCCCCCACTCCTAATTTGGGAGAAAAGACGGGATTTTTTCCTCCGCCCCCCCCCCTCCCTATTCAAACTGAAGACTGCTTTAGAGCTGATGCCCCTAACTGTTGTGCAGTATGTAGAAAATTTACTACAACCGCTCTCTAGGATTGCTGGGCAAGCTCAAATGCAGATGTCAACGGTTTCAGAGTGGTGTACCGGTTTCAGAGTGGTGTACCGGTTTCAGAGTGGTGTACCGAGTATGTTGTTGAAGCTCCGGTCCTCTGGAACGAGCTCCCCCCCGTGGAGATCCGGACCTTTACGACCCTCCAGGCTTTCCGTAAAGCCACTAAGTCCTGGCTGCTCTGGCAGGCCGGGGGCTGTTGAAGTATCCAGCCCCACGGTAATCTATGAATGTTGTTGTATTTTAAATTGTTTGTTTGTCTTATTTATTCCCTTCCCCTTTTTATTGTAAGCCGCCCGGAGTCCTCCAGGAGTGGGCGGCATACAAGTCTAATAAACATACAAATACATGTTCTTTCAAGAATGCTTTGTGTATTTATCATGAGCCTGCCTTCAAATTGCAAGTTTCATTCTCTGCCAACAGCAGCCAGAGTAGTTCAACCAGGAATCCATGCAAGTCTTAAGGATTGTCTGGTTTTGTTCCTCTTTATATCATTTCTTAAGAATTACAAACCAGTGCCTTTCGGAGCTAACCCCGTATTACTCAATTTCATATTATTTGCAAAGTCAGGCTTCTTAATCACGTAGGGACTTACCCCGTTATTTTTAAAAACATAAAAGTTAAAATGTAGAAGGAAAAAAATGTTAAGAAAAATAGGAAAAGGAACAGTACAAAGAAAAAGTAACACAGAAATTATCCCAGGCTTGAACAATTACCCCAAAAAAAAACCCTCAACCTTTTTATCACTAATGCTATATCCACACACCCCAATTTCGCCATGAACTTCAAAAATCTGTTGAGAGAGCCCCAAACTGTGACCCAGGTTTGGTCTCGTACAGAATTAAGATTGTGGACAGAGAATCACTGGATAGACCAGTGTTTTTCAAGCAATGTGCCGCGGCACACTAGTGTGCCGTGACATAGTGTAAGGTGTGCCGTGGGAAAATTACTTTATTTATAGTCAATATAGGCACAGAGTTAAATTTTTTTAACATTTTCTAATGGTGGTGTGCCTCGTGATTTTTGTCTTTGCACAAAAAGGTTGAAAAACACTGGGATAGATTATGGCAGTGTAGAATTGAGATTGTAGCAGTACAGCTACAAGACAAGAGAAACCCTATAAAATCAAGTTCTCTTTATGTGAGCATCTGCACATGGCAAGATGCTATTTATGCAATTTATGGGAAGCTCGAAGTTTCCTAGATACATTGTGGAGCCTTTCCCACCCAAACTAGACACTACACGCCCTCTTGACTTAATTGCCTCCAGCTACGTCCAACTGTACTTCCTAACTACTAACTATGGACTTGGAAGATATGGGTGGTGTAGCTCCATCACATTTCAGGCTGCTGTAGACTAGAAATGGGGGGAAATATCTTCCAAATGTTATTGAATTTCCAGGCTTCCTAAACATTATGGCCACCGGTTGGAAATGTGGCCCAGGAGCCCACATAAAGCCACATTAAGCCCCTTCCTCTGTGTCATGGTGAGGTGGAGGCTCTGTAGACCTTGCTCATCATTAACTCTAGACAAGGGTAATGTTTGATAAGAAAGTGTGATGTGTCAAGGGCACTTTCAGCAATCTTCTGTATTTCTTTTATCAGGATAGATACAGTAATCGAGGAGACCATCCTTGACCATGGAGTATAGACCTGGCTGACCCAACTTAAAAAATGCTGGCTGCATAGAAGCACAACGTATAGATAACAAACTTGTTTCTTGGAGAAACAGACTTATTCAAGGGGCACCTATGCTAATAAGCTGTTCGTTAGCTCTTTTGTCCAACTAAGTTCAGAATCTGTACTCCTTCCACAGCCTGGGCCACAGCAAAGCTGCTTGTGGCACACCTCCTCGACACTGCTGCTCATGGGCACAGCCCAAACACTAAATGAACAATGAGCCAAACTTTGCCTCCTTTAATTGCTTGGCAAAATTCAGCATCATCCAGAAACCAAGTCCAGCGGAAGGTAGAGAAAGCGTATCCACCTGCGGATGGCAGACAGAAACAGCCCCCCTTTTTATATCAACTTTTACCTACAAGTTACCATAAACTAGTTTGCCCGCCCCTAGAAGTGCAGGAGAAACAGGCACTCTTGAGTGCAGTTTGGCCCCATTTCCTTCTCCATATAAGGCTTATAGGAAGTTGCCAGCAGTTTTAGGCATAGTCTCTCTCTCCCCAGTGGCCCAGAGTAGTTGGGGGAATCTATTTTAAGCTGCAGCTTCTAGCCTCTTTGATATGACAAGATAGGAAATCAGTGGCTTGCCAAATATTAGTGGGCAGAAGAGTCGTCATTCTTTCCCACACTAGCTAAGACTCAATGGAATTGCGGTCCAGCAGCATAGGGATGGACCACAGGCTCCCACCCTGGAGTAATGTTAAAGGAAGAAAAAAAAGCATGCTGCACGCCAACTGGTTCCTTCCCTGGAATGCAGCCATGCCAATATTACAGGCTGAGATCCTATTGTGGCTGAAAGAGAGCAGCAAAGCAGGCCTCCATAGGGGCCAAACTGGAGGACCGACCTGGTTGGAAAGACAAAGGCATTGCAGGTCCACATAGTTTACTAAAGGGGCTTTCTTTCCAGAAGGCTCCCAAGTGCAGCTTCCAAACCTAGCGGCTCAGGGACATCTTTTCTCCCCCCCCACCACCCGCCCTTTCTCTGCTGCTGCAAAGTTTCTAACTTTGTTTCCCCACCCCCCACTCCTCCACCACCACCACCCCGCCGTCTGGCAGGAGGGAAGATCAAAGGGAAAAGGGGGGGGGGCTGTTAAAGAAAAGAGCGGGCAGCGCAAGGGGAAACCGAGCACGGTTCTGGAATCAAAAGCAGATGAAGCGTGGGAGCCTCCCTCCCCCCAAACCTCCCTCCGCCCCCCTCCAAAGAAGTTAACGGGCCTTTCCCGAGCAGAGAAGAACCGAGGTGCGCCAGGCCTTTGGAAAGGTTAGAAACACACAGGGATGAATTATTTATTCGACGGTCCGAGTTCCCAAAGTACTCGGGCCGGGGAGAGACTCATCACCTCCCGGGGGGGGGGAACGAGGCCCCGGGGGTGGTGGGAAGGAAGGAGGCCGCCTTTAAAAAGACAGACAGAAGCGGAGTCGGGCACTGCGCTCTCACCACGCCCCAGATGCGCCGTCGTAAGGCCAACCCCACCCCTCCAACAGGCCCCGGCCGACCGAGGCATTTCTCCGGAAAGCCGCAGCACCCCGTTTGCAAACGCTGGGTGTCCCGTCCCCCCCCCCAACCGCTTCCAAGGAAGCCTACGCCCCCCTACCCACCCGGGTGCTCCCCTTTAAGGGGTGCTCCTCCCCATGCCCCCTCCCGGGAGCATCCCGCCAGGCTGAGGCTCACACACACACCCCTTAAGCGGGAGGGGCTCCAAAGCGCGCCCCTCCTCTTCCCCCTCTGCACCTGGGCCTCGCCAACGGAGAACAAGGCGATGCCTCTCCCCCCCAAAACCACCAGCCAGCCGCTTTTCCCGTCTTTTACTGGGGAAACTTTTTGCTTCCAACGCCCCTTTCCCTGCAGCCCCATTTATTCAGAGCCAGGCCTCCATCCTCCCCACCCGTCCCCCAAATCCTTAGCGCTCTCCCGGGACAAAACTCTTCCACTTCCCCGCCCACCTCCGGGACTTACCGATAGAGACCAGCTTGATGCTCTCTCGCTCCAGGAACTCCAGCGCCACCGACACGTTCTCCAGCTGCATCTGGCGGAAGGTGGGGCGCGCGTTGTACTTGCGCCCCATCTTCTTCTGGCTCAGCACCTCGAGCAGGGCGATGAGGCGCAGCCCGTCGCCCAGATCCGTCTGCAAGTTGGCGATGCGCTTGTTGACGCATTTCAGGTGCTCGTTGCACCAGCGCGTGAAGGTGTTCTGCTGGATTTTCTTCCAGGGCGCGTCCTCCGCCAGGTCCTTCTCGGTGGCCGGCATCTCGGCAGAGACCTCCCCCTGGGCACCGCCGGCACCTCCGCCGCCGCCGCCGCCGCCACTGACTGCACCCGCTCCTGCGGCCTGATGGAGTCGCGCTTGAGACCCGCTCATTTTAACTGGGATTGAGAAGGGTGGGTGGGACCCCGGCGCTCGGGTGGGTTGGGTCCGGGTTTAAAGGCGCAGGATCCTGCAGAAATTGGAAACACAAGAGGAGCGGGACGTAATTCAGCCGGGCGGAGTCAGGCGAGATTTATAGGACGGNATCTATCTATCTATCTATCTATCTATCTATCTATCTATCTATCTATCTATCTATCTATCTATCTATCTATCTATCTATCTATCTATCTATCGTGTAGCAATAGTATTTGGGTCCAACATGAATAGTATTATACATCAGAGAAGCCCGATCAGCAAGTACCCACTCAGAATACATTTTCCTTCATCTTCACCTAATAGTTTTTATGAATGAGCAGAATCACTGAGTTGGGGCAACTATACAAATTGAATAAATAAGTAACAGCCCAGTCATTGACTAGGGATGGTTGGAATTTGCAGTGTGACATATCTTAAGGATGCTCATTGGGGAAGTATGGCCAAGGTCCATGTAGAGGCCTCCAATTAAAAGCAGACTATCATGCCATCCTTATAAGGACCACTTCCAGCAGCAGAGGTATTCTGTTGCAGGAGTCTTGTGGCACCATAAAGTTTTAGTGGATTCTGGATTTCTTCCCCTGTGTTCTCACAAGGGTGCCTTGAACTAAAATCCAGCTAACTACTGTAAAAACCTGTGTTTGTCTCTACAATTCACATGTAGACCATCTGGATCGTCAGAAACTATGTAAGAATGTGCATAGCCCTCTCGTATCATTCTTGAGAGTTTGTGAATAAGCCCCTGATCAAACTGAACCTTCTCTTCCAGCCACCCTTACCCATGCAGCCTTATGTGCTGTTCAACAGGTCAGGGAGTCAGAGCTTGAGCATATTCGGAGAAGACCCAGCACTAAGTCAAGTAAGCATTTAACAAAAGGGCCAGGAGGACAGAGAAGACTCAGAAGTCAGCATCCAACGGAAAAGACAGTGAGATTTGCAAGCCCAACTTCACTTTCCCAAGTACAGGTGTAAAGTCCCAAGCGTCTCATTCTGCCCTGCTCAGAAAAATGCTGGGATGGGAAACCCCCCCCCCCTTCTAAGAGGTCTCCAGGAGATGCGTAGCCCCACGGCTTTTAAGCTTTTAATGTTGACTTCTGCCGCAGATTCACACACTGGGCAGGGCTAAGCAACCCATGCCTTCTTCACCAATTTGGGGGAGGGGGACCAAATAGGAAGGAGGCAAGCGAAGAAACCCGTCGCCCCCACCCAGCACTGCACCGCCCACCCAGCCACACACACACACACACANCATCTTCAAGTTGACAAGGTTGAGAAACACTGACTTAGAGGGAGCATTGTCTCATATCCTGATTCTGGAGTGCAAAAACAACAGCTACATCCTAGGTGCATTATGAAAGAAATTGTGCCTTAAGAGACAGAGAGATGGAACTGCTAAATTCGTTTGGGAGGCTTGCACAGATTTTTATTCTGGACTCAAGAGAGGCACCGTAGCTGTTTTTAAGCACAGCATGGAAAGAGTAAGGAGCTATCGCAGCACACCATTTTTTTTCTTGATTGCTATCACTCACAACAGCCCTGATCTGGCAATGCAACACAAGCTTGAGGCTGCTGTTACTGGCAGATCTTAAGAGAAAGAACAGTCAATGGCCCCAGATCTGCAGAATTAAGTCATAAATCAGTGCGTTTATTTTTGCTGAATAAAATGCATACAGGGGAGACCTTCCCTACTCTCATTAAGCTTCCGAATTAATCATTTGCTGAGAAGGCTCTTTAGCCAACTCCCCAGTTTTGTTATTATGGTTTTTGAGGGAGTCACAGATCCCACATTCCACACGCATTCCATGAAGTACAAGGGGGCCTGGCCTTAGATCAAGCATATATATATTCTTAGTTCATGTGACATAAATCTTACATAGTATCTATCTATATATCATCTATATATCTATATATCTATATGTCTATATATCTCTATATATCTATCTATCATATCTCTCTCTCTCTGTGTGTGTGTCTGTCTGTCTGTCTATATCTATCTATCTATCTCTATATCTCTATATATCCATATATCTATCTCTATATATCTATACCTATACCTATCTCTCTCTCTCTCTCTCTCTAGATAGATAGATAGATAGATAGATAGAGATATATAGATATATAGATATATAAATATAGATATAGATATACATATCTATCTACATATCTATCTATATATCTATCTACATATCTATCTATATCTATCTATATCTCTATCTCTATCTATCTCTATCTATATCTATCTCTCTCTATATATCTAACTCTATCTCTCTCTCTATATCTCTCTCTATATATCTATACCTATATCTATCTATATATCTATATCTATCTATCTCTATCTCTATCTCTATCTATCTCTCTATATATCTATCTCTCTCTATATATCTCTCTCTATATATCTATACCTATATCTATCTATATA